AAACTCAGCAGTCGTTCAGGCCGCCGAACAATATCGTATCGGACGGCGTTTCGTCGACGGACCTGCGGCGGTACGTGACGGGGAGTTTTTTTGTGTTTTTTTTTTTATTAATTTTGTTGATAATCATTACTTTATAATACATTTCTCCCCGTTTTTCGAACAGTCCGCGAGTTTTTGTGAATTTTATTATGATTTCGCTATGCGTGCGCGTTTGTACATATATGTCCGTCTCTCTTTCTGTCACACTGTTCGACTCTCACCGTATAACTATTTCGCTCTCTCGCTCTCTCCGTCTCTCTCTCTCTCTCGTCGCACTATGCCCAGCACGCCGAAATAATAATACAGGGGTCCAGTTCGGACGCGTGCAGTGCGGGGGTTGCAGTGGTACGAGTGTACGTATGTGTGTGCGCGCGTGTGCGTGTGAGTATTTCTAGTGCGAGCGTGTGCGTGTGCGGAGCGGGTGTACGGGGCCGGTGAGGTGGATAGAGGAACCGCGCTGCGGGTACGGGGTGGAAGAGTGGCGGTGGCGTGGGTGGTCGCACGGTTTTGCAAAATGTTTTGCAACCGCCGGCGCGGGGGGAGCGGGCGAGGGGGTGGTGAAATGCTGCGCGGCGCCGGGAGCGGGCGGATGAAGAGCAGAGGGTGGAGGTGTCGGCGGCAGTGGGTATACGTATACGTACGCGCGTATATTATTATATAGTGTCGGTGGCGCGCGGTGGGATGATAGGGCAAGGGGTGATTTTTGGACGATCAACGGAGTGAGGGGAGGGGTGGGGGGTGGATGGGAGACGAGCGCGGGGGTGTAAGGGGGTGTAGGCGGCGGCGGCGGTGCCAATGGGGGGGGGAAGGGGGGCGGCGGTGGCGATTCGCTCTAGGTGTAATAGCGGACGAGTCGCCACGGCCTATATGTCTCACGCCGACCGTTCACCGGTTTAAACTACGCTCGGGACGCACTAGACCAGGTCGACCGATGAGCATTTTCGTTGTGTTTTTTTTTCGTTATTTATTTTATTATTTTTAGTTCGCGCGCGATTTGTTCCACTCTCATTGCAATAGTATCTGCGCTCGTGTCACCACCGTCGCCGCTGCCACGGATTTTAGACCAGTCCAACACCACGTCGTTTTTACACCTACCCACTACACACGACGACCACGGTGGTTTTGTTTTGTTTTGTTTTTTTTTTATTATTATTATTATTATTTTCGTTTTTATTATTTATCATTACTATTATTATTTATTATTTTAGTTTTGAGTTTTCGTATTTATTGTTTTTTTTTTTTTTTTTTTTTTTTCTGTTTTTCCTTCTTATCGACGACAAAAAGTGACGACCGTCTCAAAAAAGTGCGCCGCCCGGATATACCATTCCATTAAGTTAGTACCTATACACTTATAATCGAATTTTTTTTTTTTATTACTTTAGAAAATATACGTATTTTAGGTAGATTTATAATATGAATATTACGACTAATTAATTATACGCGTAGGTTTCGCACGACTTTTATATTATTATGCATTGTCTACAATTACCCTATAATAATTATCTTTTGCGTTCCGATTTTTTACGGTCTTGATGTTTATACCACGCAAGTCGTATTTACTTTACGCGTTACTACACAATAATTGTAATTGTAAAAAATATAATCGAGATTAACCCGCGATTATTGTATTCTATAGAAATTGAACTACTATATTTTAAAATGGCTATCAATTATTCGTAATCTTTCAAAAAGTATAGTTCCATAGGTATTTTACACGTTTTTAATTTTCAAAATTTATTTCTCAGTCAGTCGAAAATATTCGAACGCATATTCTAATAGATATCTCAAAATAATAAAAATAATATGTACTATCATAGTTATTTTGCCCATATTTAAGTACATACTAATATTATTTAATATGTATAACATTTATCGATTTCATTTATTTTATTTCGTACTGTTATATTTGACTTTTGGGTTTTGTGTCTTAAATGTAAATGCATAAACAACACGTTTAGAAATATTTCTCTAAAGCACAAGAGCGATTAAGTAACATGATTAATTTTACTTAAACGCGTGCATAATACTGTATATAATTTGGGAAGCGAAATTTTGAGTTACACTACCAACAACTAATTTAAACATTTTTAAACAAATTACAATTTTATTTCCATAGACAATAATAGATAACGAATATAGTAAAACATTATAAATGATATAATGTAATTAATATATTTATCTAAAACTTCTGAAAAAGTAATGTAATATCCGAAACGGTTTATCAAATTTGTATAATTTCCTAATTAAAAAAATGTAGTAAAAATTATATATAGAATATAATATTATGTACAGGATATACGCGTGTACCGATTGAATTTTAGGCTGTACTTGTTTCGCTTCGCTTACCATTGACACAATAAGCTGCCAACGGTATGATTAGTTTTTTTTCAATTGCAAAGCAATACAAAAATACTGTACTCGAAAAATCATTTCGAGCGGAGCGTGATTAACTTACTATTCTACTATTATTGAATAAACAATATTCTATTACGTTGATTTTAATAATATTTATTTAATTTCAATTTATAAGACTATAAATCCGAAGAAATTTCAAACCGACCGGTATGCGTGTTTTTCAAATAATTGATACACGGTTACAAGAATTTAAATACTACATTTAATAATACAATTAAATAATGAAACACGTGAATAAATTCATTGGAGTTAAAAGACATAAAAAAATAAATCCTTAATGCATACTCAGCTATTTGAAATAAGTGCGAGGTACCTAAGAAAAAAAAGTTCGATTCAAAGGACGTACCATCTCCCGTATTTAAGGGGTTCTACATAGGCAATTTTCTTCACATTTTTGAAAGAATTAAATCTTGTTGGCTTAAAAATATACAATACACTTTCAAATGTATTTCCAGGTAGTCTCATGCTATTATCACAAGTGTATTTTATAATCGTGAAATTAACAAAACGTGTTTTCGTAAACCATTCGGGCTATTATAAGCTAAGATAACAAACCAAATGTTCACCATAAACAAAGATAAATTGTACTGCACTGATTACTTGTACTCACTATTATTTTTAGTTTTTCAATGGCATTAACGCTATAAGTTATACGGGTTTGAAGTACATATTATTATTCGATTTTTCAACAATAATAAATGATTTGGATTTGTAATATCGAAAAAATAAAACTAATATTCCACAGTGCAAATTCTCCTTTTTCTATAAGTAGTTACAATTTAATTTCGCAAAATTAGGTCTATGGCCCGAATAGGTTTTTCTCCACGTAAAATAGATTTTACAATCAAACTATGAATAGTAACACACTCTCCTAACATTTACGTTTTCATACGATTTTTTCGCATTGTCTGTCTATTTTTGTATACCTAAATGATTAAAAATATCTATTGATTTACACGAGTTTACCACCAAATTATAAAAAGGATGCATTAATCAAAATACTAGTTGAATTCATTATTTATCATAGTACTTAAATATAATTAGCATTTTATCAAATAGAAATATCTTATTTTAGTATTTCTAAGTTTTAGATTCTAAATGTAACAGATTAGCGAAAAACTATTAGTTATAATAGGATGTGTTTTTTCTCGAAAACAATTTTTTGGTTAATAAAAATGTTCCAGTTTTTTCATGTTGTAAGAACCAGATTTTCACATCAAATGGTAGACACTTTGTTATTTAGAATATTTTTTGAAATTTCCAATACCTTTTCATGAAAAAAAAAAGACTACAAATGAGGATTTACAGGTTTTACTTTTGTTGATTCCTGGGTTACCTACTAACAATCGATCATAGAAATACTTTACCAATAATTTACCTAGGTCAATTCAGAATCGCTTTTTGATAACAATGAATTTGATAATATCATATTAATATACTGGTGATAGTAAATATTATTGTTGCTTAAACTAAATTACCCCATACCCAATAAATTTTCAATTTCCCATCTACAACAGTAGCATTTATTCATGGTAGGAAATATGTTCAAATTTAATATTTTTGAATAGTAATAAAAATAATTATTAACTAACTATTAAAATTACTTTTATTAATAAGTTATAAAAAATTATAACTATTATAGTTATTATGAAATAAAATATAATAAAATATTATAAAATATTACGTTTGTCTTTATTTTATGTACATTTTTTTTGTTATTAACTCGTTTATATGAGTTCAAATTATCATCGATATTCGTAGGCTCCGATTGTTCAATATAACATGTGGCATTTGCCGAAACTGATATGCAAAAGTCTCAAATTAAGTTTTCAATCAAATTTAGTTTCATTCAAATACAGTGGATGTGAAATCCTTAAGATCCGAGCCAAAATTCGTATTTTTATAACGAATAACCAGTGACGTGCTAGACAAAGTTTCAACAAAAAAGTTTTCTTGTCGTTTCTCTATTGAAATCATATTTCTGATAAAAAAACATCGTACGCTGTACATTTATTTGTTTTTCATATTTTGTCTTTTATCTGGTTTTCCTAATTATTATGAAAAATATTGAAAACTCAAAAATAACTTCTCTTATGCACCAACTAAATACAATTTCCTTCCAGAAAAAGTGCTACACTTTATATATCGGAGCAAGATTTCTATTATTTGAAAAGTTTTTTTACAGGCTCAAAAAAAAAAAAACAATGAAAACTAATAGATTTCTCATTACTCTCAAAATCTAATAAAATGTATTGGGTCCCTGGGCCCTATAGGCCTCTTGTAGCCCCCTATTTTTATTTAACTTGGCTTGGAAATTTAACCAACGGTAATGCTATATAATTATATAATTATAATGTAATTACATTGAGATTTGTGTTTACTTTTTTAAACGATTTTCTCTCCCGTTATATTTTATTCAAATGAGATATTTTGTTCGAATGGAATTCCACAAAGATAATTCTCTATACATAATATGTATGAACTTAATCGTTATAATATTATGTTCAACGTATACCTAATTGCGTTTCTAGTATTTTTTATCGAGTGTACGCAATAATTTAGTTAAAAATTCGCAACCCCTAAATATAACCGGGCCTGACGTCATAATATTATAATTATTATTTGCACTTTTTTCTCCCTAAATGCTGATTGCTAACGCGGAATCCCCCGAGATATAATGTTTAATCAATACTATCGCGGACGCGTATTTTTTTTTTGTTTTGTTTTTTTAGTTTTTTATTATTTTCAGCGATATAGCAGCATGGATTCCATTATGAATAATATAGGCGTACATCCGTTATATGTATATAGGGAATTTCGGTTGAATCAAAATATGTGAAAAAAAAACAAACGTCACTGCTCCGCGGCAGCGGAGAGAAACCATCTTTTTTTTTTTTGTTTTTATGGCGACACGTGATTAATGGGAACTTTTTCCACCCACCCCTCGTACGAATAAAAAAAATAAAACAAAAATTATACGCTAGGGTTGATTTTTCGGGGCTTGAAATCCGTCCCTTGGTATACCGCGCGCGTTTTAATGTTCGGTTGGTGGTGCGTGTTGGTGCCGTCCTTGTTATATTGTGTGCACAAACAAATGCTTTTTTTTTCGAATTGTGGAATCAATTTTTTTTTTTTAACAGTATTTAAATCGTTTGGTCTAGTAGGTAATCGGTGTAGTTAATTTCAAAGCCAATCAATAAACACTATTTATACGTAGGCCGTTAATACCTCTCGTATTATCGTAAAAACCTTTTGTCACTGGATGTGCCAAAATAATGATCTCGCCCCGCACAGTACGTACAATACGTATTATACGTAATATATTATAGGAACGTGACCACAATGATAAATTTCTAATCCGATTTCAAAAGGTGTGAAACGGAATAATAATATTATTTTTTTTTTTACTTTTATTAAAAATATTATTATACTTGTCTGTTATTAATACTCGTATATTTAAAAACCGTTCGGAATCGTCCGGATGCCAAAAAAAATAACGATAATTAATAAAAAAAAATATATTATCCACGTAGTGCAGTATACTTGTTGTATATAGCATCATATTTTCTAAAGTGAAAAGATTGCAATAGTAATAATTAATAAATTATACTGTCGTGAGGCGTCATCAAGATTACTGCGTGTATTTCAAACTAATATGCGTTCAACTTGTTTAAACTACTTAATTAAATAAACAGTTTATTTTAAATGCTGATAAAATAATTTATTTCATTAGTCCATAAGACGATTTATAACAATATGTAAAAAAAAAAACAACAAATTAAAAAATAATATATGAAAATATATTCAATTTAAATTTAAATTGCAACTGTTCTATAATATGATGTATACTTTTATATACAGTAATAAATGATAATAGCACTATAAGTATGTTTTTATAAATATATATAACCGAAAATAATAAAAACACTTTGACGTTTGAAACTTTATAAACTTCTTCTTTCGTTTCGGTAACACGTCTTGGATATATTTTGGTACAGGAGACAGTAAACAAACAAAATCATAAATACATAATTTTGGCAAAAAAAAAGTTTATTTTCTATCCACTAGGACAGAGCCACGTTTAACTGGAGGAGTTTAGGGTGGACAATCGCTCAAAGGTAAACAATTGTTTGGTACTTTGTGGAACGTCAAATTCCATTAATTTCAACGAACCTTCATAGGAGCGGAAAAAATATGAATACATTTTAAGTACGTTCTTTTTTTTTTTTCATATAAATTTTAACCGCCACTGTATAACGGTAAAAATAGTATTGACTAACATGTTTTCTTATACGTAATGTTTATTTGCGTACGTTTTCCCTTCAAAAATGGCCGGGTAAAATAAGTCATCATTTCGATAGACTATCGAATGATTCTAATGACAGTACAATTATTCTAGTTGTATTTATGAGTGCCTATTGTCAACGTACTATCAAATTTTGTTTGTCTATTGTCAATTGCACGAACAAAATAATAATTCGTAAGACAATTTTGTTTTAATGTAAAATGAGAGTAAGACTGAGACTAATATTGTGAGAAGTATGAGTTACTGGCCGTACAGGATTTTTCTAATTCTCTGATGGTATTTATTTAGGGGAACAAAATGTATTTTCCCAAGGGCGGTGGTTTAGCTTATCGCGGTACTGCGTTTGGTATACTCGCTACTAGACTACTATAAATAGTAGTCTAGTAGCTCAAAATAGTAACAGTTCGGGACATTTTTAACGAATATTCGTATCGAAAAATATAAACCTGCATTATTATTGTTTCTAAATTTCTAAATTTAAGTATTACTGGCGTTTATGATGTTTTAATAATTATAACTTATAAACTATACAGCTATCGAATGATGTCACGATTTTCGGAGCTAAGCTATAGTTTTTTTTTTTTTTTTTACTAAATGTTTTTTAATTACTTAAATATTGTAATATGCATTGCCACTGTCAATCATCATCACTGACATAACTCACTTAGAATCTTTCGTACCATCACTGAATCCCTCCATAACTTCCTGTCTTGATTCATTGCATTCTAATTTTCATAGGGGTTAAGATCTTCTTTTGTTACATTAATTACCTCTTCCGGTATCTTCCCTTTAGGCTTTCACTCAAAAACTACCATTATGGTATTATCTCATCCACTTGTTCCCAACATGTCTAAGCCCACTATATTTTTTGAAACTCTATAGAACTAATAACAGGTGCTACACCCTTTACTCCAACTTTATTAAACTTTATTTTTCATTGGTTTATCAATTGATATTATTAGTTGGTCTACATATCATCTTACATGCTTTGTTCTCAAAGGTTCGCATGGCCTCTTTTCTGTTACGGTTATCAATACTTCATAAGAATAATTGACCTGATTATTGATGTATAGGATTTAATTTAGATTTTCTTTTCCTTTGAAAACCTTTTGGATTTTAAGAACTTTGTTAGTGTAAATGACGCTCATTTACAGTCATCTACTCATATAACTAAATGTAGACACAGGGCATCTAATTCCAAACAGAACCATAAATATACTCGAATACAAAAAATAATATTATAAAATATATTTGAAAATACTTTTATTCAAGTGTAAGAGAGAGAAAAATAACCATTTGTCAGGAAAAAAATATTTTTTGAAGTTTTTCGTTTTTTTTAATAACAATAATAATAAAACAAAATGTGTCTGTTTGTCTGTATATAATCTACAGCCGAATTTGTCACACGAATGAGTCTGAATATTTGGATACAGTCGCGGATAAAGAGATCGTGCAAAAGGGAGACGGGTGATGCGGAGAAACACGTTAACAGGCTGTTTGGTTTCATTCTCTGACCCACGCACAATACAAATGATTTTCATTCAGCAAAACCAAATTCGTGTTGTTAATTTAAGTATTAGAGTGAATTTATCTATTATAGAACTTAAATTCAAGAATATTTTCCATTTTTGTACGTTGGATTTTTCCGATATTTCAATTATATAACGAGACATGAGCATTTTTAAATTGTAATATTTAAACATATCTACTCACAAATTGCGTAAAGATTGAAACATCATAAAAAAAAAAGCCAATGTACAATCACGGGTAATGTTCTTAATTTTAAGTTTGACAATAGATGAATTCTCTCTAATTCAACAACACAAGTGTAGTTCTGCTGACCGGAAATTTGTTACGTTGGACGCGGATAAGTGAGAGAAAACGAAAAACGTATACTGATAGCTTCTTAAATTGGATTTATTTAATTGATTTCGGTTTTTCGAAAGGAAATATTTTTTTTTTTTTTTTTTTAAATACTGTTTTTAAACGGTAAAACTAAACGCTGGATATCGCGTATTGTCCGAATGCAATATTTCATTTCGTACGTTTATTCGATATAAATTCGATATTTACGGGCTACTCTGATGTGTGCTTGCAGGAAAGTTGAGCGGTATAAATGAGGCGACGGTACGATCCGCGGACAAGCGACCCGGCTACAAAGAGTACGGGCATCATTGTCGTCATCGTCACCGAATTGTCACCTGACGGTATGACCGGACCCGGGCAATAGGGCCGCAACACGGAACGGAAATATCGTGCCCGCTTCACCGCCGGCGTTTGGACCGTTTTCCAGAGCGAACGCGACGGGAGACAAATGGTTTAGGATTTAACACGTAGTACAACGTTCCCCTTACAGGCTCCATCCCATTCCAAATAGTATCACACACAAATATTTAGGTATACATATTATCCATCTCCACAAACACACACACATACATCTTACACAATATTAACAATAATAATATATAAATAATTTCTCTATATCTCCAAAATATCCACACACACATAAACACAACGAAACTTATTACTTCCTCTAACTACATTTCACAATATAAAAATATAATTATTACTTTTACATAAAAAATATATATAAATACAATATATAATATTTCGGCGTAATATTAGGTAAACAAAAAAAAAAAAAAATTATATTTGAGAAACAAAAATTGAAACATTGAAATTCTAAATTTAATTTACGAAAAAAAATTACTATAATTAAATTTTTTAAAAAAAAAAAAACCTATTTTGTTATTAATATATTATTATTATCGATACGAGTGCCTATTTTCGGAAATTTTATATAAATATTATTTAAGCAAATTATCGTAAATTCGTTATACAAAATTTTATAAATTTTTAACTTAATATATTATTATTACCCCTTCGAATGTTCCTGAATATTGTGTGATAAGAAAGAAGTATTTTTACTATCAATTATAATTGTTGTGATATTATTTTTATACAAGTATACGTCGTTTAGATGATGTTTTAACATACGTAATTATTTATATATATATAGAGGAGTAAATATATAATAGGTAGTTTCATTTTTATTATTCCTCTCCTTAATAGTTGTACCCTTAAATAATAAAATATACCTACTACCGAAAAGCAAGCCGACTTTCAACAATATCTAATCGGTAAGTGTAACAATATATTGTTTAATTTTATTTCTTTATAATAAATAAAGCCATTAAAATAGAAATAAAAGTTAAAATACGATTCGGTAATAATATATTATGTTGATTTTAAGTTTAAATTCACGATTCATTGTTCGCGTAATGTATGTATTATTACAATATTACTAGCTGCACTGCTACCTATGGCCTTGCTTTTGGTATAAGAATAGTAACCGACCTCTACAACTCGTCTCTCCACACTTCCCACTCCTCACCATGAGGTTTATCCCTCGTATATCCTTTCTTAAGACTCTCCTCACCGCCTATAATATCTAAGTAGGTTAGATTTACCCAACAATAATTT